TTTCGGGAACTAGTAAAAAGGGTTTTCACTAGGAATCTAGTTGAAAGCTCCCAAAATTTGGGTTCTCTATTTGTTAGCTGAAAAACAAATACAGGAATTGGAAATAACATAAATATTCATTAATAAGGGAATAGTAACATGGATATATGATGCTTAAGTACATTGTGGTGTATCTATAATATCGAATATGATATAATTATTAATATGTTTACAAGGACGTTTTTATGGCATGAGAAATGCTTATGAAATATGAAATAGGCAATATTAGTTCTAGCATGTAAAAAAAAATCCATAGATAAAATGCTGGAAAAAATCATACTTACATGTTAACAATGGTTATTGCTAGTTGGTGGGATTATGAATGATTTCCTTTATTTTTTTCATAGTTTTCTAAACTTTCCAATATAAGAATATATTACTTTCTTTAAAAACACAGCTTTTTATTGGAGTACCTGGGTGGCTTAGTTGGTTAAATGTCTGACATCGGCTTGGGTAACGATCTCAGGGTCCTGGGAATGAGCCCCATGTCCGGCTCTCTACTCAGTATGGAGTCTGCCTCTCCCTCTGCCTCTGCACCTCACCCCATGCTCACGCACGTGCGCTCTCTCTCTCATATAAAATCTAAAAAAAAAAAAAAACCAGCCTAATTAAGATATAATTAATCTACTATACTGTTCAGCATTTAGAATACTTACTGTACATTTGAAAGTATACAATTTGGGGGCACCTGGCTGGCTCAGTCAGTGGAACATGAGACTCTTGATCTCAGGGTTGAGTTTGAGCCCCATGTTTGGTATAGAGACTACTTTAAAAAATAAAAAATCTTAAAAAAAAAAGCATACAATTTTATTTATTTATTTTTTTTGCATATTCAGAGTTGTGCAACCACTATCACATCTAATTTTAGAACACTTCATTGTCCCAAAAGAAAACTTGTACATATTAGCGATCACTTCCCATTCCCTGTTTCAGCCAACCACTGATTTACTTTCTATCTACTTTACTTACTGTCTAAAGATTTGCCTATTCTGGATGTTTCATACAAATATGTACCCTTTTGTGTTTGGCTTCTTTGATGTAGCATAATGTTTTCAAGGATCATTGATATTGTATCATGCATCCGTATTTCATTTCTTCTTATTGTCAAATAATATTCCATTGCATGGATAGTCTATATTTTATTAATCCATTCATCAGTTTCCACTCTTTGGCTCTCATGAATAAAGCTGCTATGAACATTCTTGTATAGTATTTTATGGCCAAGTTTTCAAATTCCTTGGCATACAGCTAAGAGTAGAATTGTTAGGTCCTATGGTAACTCTGCTGAGTATTCTGAAGAAGTACCAGACTGTTTCCCAAAGTGGTCATATCATTTTACATAACATCAGTGCATGAGGATTCAAATTTTCTGTCTTTGATAATATTTTTATTGTTTTTCTGATTATAGTCACCCTAGTGTATGTGAAGTGGCATCTCATCGTGGTTTTGATTTGCATTTGTCCAATGGCAAATATGAGCATCTTTTCATGTGATTATTGGCATTTCTCTTCCTTGGAGAAATGTATAGCCATATGCTTTGCCCATTTTTATGTTTTTTTTTGTGTGTTTTTATGAAGTTGTAAAAGGTCTTTATATATTCTGAGTACAAGTCTCTTGTCAGATATATCATTTATAAATATTTCTTCCCCTTTTTGAGTTGTCTTTCCACTTTCTGGATGGTATTACTTGCAACAAAAAGTTTTTAATTTTGATGAAGCCCTAGTTACCTATTTTTTCTATCGTTGCTTGTGCTTTTGTTATTTTATATAAGAAATCACCACGTAACCCAAGGTTACAAAAATTTACTTTTATGTAAACTAAGAGTTCTATAGTTTTAGCGCTTACATGTAACTCTATGATCCATTTTGAGTTAATTTAGTTTACTGTGGCAAAAGGAGTCTAATTTCATTCTTTTGCATATGGATATCCGTTGTCACAGCACCATTTATTGAAAAGGCTATTTTTTTCCTATTGAATTGTCTTAGCATCCTTTTTTGGAAATCAACTGACCAAAAACTTAAGGGTTTGTGTCTGGACTCTTCATTCTATTCCTATTAATCTACATGTTTATCCTTATGACAGTATTACACTCCCTCGATTAGTATAGATTTTTAGTACTGAAATTGGGAAGTGTGAGTCCTCCAACTTTGATCTTTTTCAAGATGGTTTTGGCTTTTTAAGTTCCCTTACATTTCCATGCATTGTTTTTATACTTGGGAAAATTTTGTTAGAAAGAGAGAAAGATAGACCTTGCTGATGGTACTATGAAATCCATTTTGTTTTCTGAGAGTGATACTACGGTAGTGCACCTGTTTTCTTGGTCAGGTGAATTTTTCTCTCCTAAATTTTTGTCCTGGTTGTGGTAGGTTTTTTTTTTTTTTTTTTTTTTTCCACTGTTGATGAAAATGTGATGAAATGTGCAAGGTATTGAATTAGTCAAGACTTCATCTCCTGCCTTCAGTCATTTGGCTGAGTCAGGGGTTCTTTCCACAACACCCTCAGTTGTTTGTTTTTTTTTAATTTTTATTTATTTGACAGAGAGAGCACAAGCAGAGAGAGTGGGAGGAGGAGAAGCAGGCTCCCCGCTGAAAAGGGAGCCAGATGCAGGGTTTGATCCAGGACCCCAGGATCATGACCAGAGCTGAAGGCAGCTGCCTAATCAACTGAGTCACCCAGGTACCCCACAACACCCTAATTTTTTATTTAGTCCACGCAAAATAGTATCATACTCTATTTTTGTGGTCTCTATGCTGTTTTTATTGTAATTTCGTCAGCAAATCCCGTTTTTTTTTGTTTGTTTGTTTGTTTGTTTTGTTTTTTTAAAGATTTTCCAAGTAAATTCTACACCTAGCATATGGGGCTTGAACTCACAATCCCAAGATCAGGAGTCACATGCTCTACTGACTGAGCCAGCCAGGCGCTCCAACTCCAGCAAATCACTTTTGATTATGTATTTCTGCATGTTCACTTTGAAAATACAAATAGATGTGCACTTATTCATTTATAAGTTATATATACATGATTATTATACATATTAAAAGCATACACAAAACATTTTAGAGGCTGAGATTTTAAAAATGTTTAGAAATAGAAGTTGTCCCACATCTCAATGCCTTTTATCCCTCTTGGATCTTTACTATTCATTTCAGCGTGTTCCAGCACCCAGCCTAGGGCCAGGTACATAGCAGAAGTTCAATGTCTCCTGTTCCAAAGAAAATCTTCAGATATCCTACTATATCTATTAATACACACTGCCTCTATTCCTAGGTTCTGCACCCTGAAAGTAAAGGTTTGCATCTATCATCTGCTAGGGTCATTTTGCCCAGAGGCTGTGGGTGCATCTCCTTTTGTTTTCTCTTCTACCTGTGATTGCATCTTAACTGACTAGTTCCTTTAGAAAATAGCAATTGTATCATCCTTAACTATGATCTTCATTTCAAACTGCATGGTCAGGCATGTCCTGGGTGCCTAGACCATAAAGAATGATCAGCAAGCTTTCTTATCCAGATGTATCACTGGAGAGGGTATGAACAAAGGGCAAGGGAGCTCTTGGGGGCGACAATTAGGAAGTGCTTCAGGAAGCTGGATTTTTTTTTTTTTTAAGATTTTATTTATTTTTGAGAGAGAGCATAACCAGGGGAGCGGCAGGCAGAAGCAGACTTCCCGCTGGGCAATGGGGGGATCATGACCCCAGTCCGAGGGAGACAGGCTCAATCATCTGAGAGCCACCCAGGCACCCAGGAAGCTGGATTTTAAAGGGCCAGGGGGAGTCAGCCAAATAGAGAAGAAAGGAAGGCAGTCCCAGCTGAACAGCAGGGCCAAATGCTGAGGTGGGAATAGACCCAGCACATTCTGAGCTAGGGAAGAATTTGAGTAATTGAGCTCAAGGGGCCGGAAAGGTTGCATTTGTGTTTTTAAGAGATCCCTCTGGCAGTGCTGTGTAGTGTTAGAATCTTGAGACTGGAGTAGGGGAGGTTGTTAGTGCCTGGAGAGTAGGGCAACATTATAGCCTGTGGAAACCTCCGGCATCGGAAGCCGAAACTGAACCAGCTTTAGGGCTTTGGCTGAATTCCTTTATTGGATCTCAACGCCCCTCTTTCTTTTTTTTTTTTTTTTGCTCCAGGGTTGTGGCCCTTTCCCTTTGTTCCCAAGAGACACTTACCTCTACCTTTATCAGAAAATCACTGTTTATTTCCTACAGTTCCCGGTGGCTGGGAAAGATCTGTTTCCGGGCTCCACTTGAGGCCTGCCCTCCAAGGAAGATACTAAGGTGTATCTCTGCACAGGTTTTATCAAGCCAGGGCTTGTGGAAGGCTTCAACCCACCCCGCCCTCGTTAAAAATCAAACCACACGGGGGGCGCCTGGGTGGCTCAGCGGGTTAAAGCCTCTGCCTTCGGCTCAGGTCATGATCCTAGGGTCCTGGGATCGAGCCCCACATCAGGCTCTCTGCTCAGCAGGGAGCCTGCTTCCCTTCCTCTCTCTGCCTGCCTGTGATCTCTGTCAAATAAATAAATAAAATCTTAAAAAAAAAAATCATACATCAGGGGAAGAGACACAGGGATAAAGGCTCAGACACGTCCAGACAGCGAAACGCCTCAGGGTTATCAAGGAGCCCCGAACTTACAGCCAGGGGCGTGTCTGGGTGGGACAGGGAGCCCTGGAACCGTCGCCCCCGCGGCTAGATCACAGGCCGGCCTTGGGAAGAAAGGGGCGGAGGAAAACCTCAGCGTCCTCGGGGTGGGCGGGGCGGCGGCCGGGCGCGGGCGGCCTGGCTGCGCCGGTGGGCGGGGTCTCCCCGCCGGGTACTGCCGCTGACGGCGCCGGCCCCGCCCCTCGGGGGAGGGCGTGCGGGCGGCGAGTGCGGTGAGCGCGCGAGAAGGGCCCAAGCCGGCCTGGGAGCCTCCGGAGCCGAGCGCAGCGAGCTGCGAGCGCTTGGGTGGCGGCGGCGGCAGCGTGCGCGATGGCTCCGGCCGCGGACCGCGAGGGCTACTGGGGTCCCACGACGTCCACGCTGGACTGGTGCGAGGAGAACTACGCGGTGACCTGGTACATCGCCGAGTTCTGTGAGTGCGGGCGCCAGCGCCCGGGCCTGAGGCGGGAGGCAGGGAGGGAGGGAGGGCGCCGGTCTGAGGGGAGACGCCGCGTGAGGAAGGCGGAGGGCGGACCTGGCCGCCAGGGGAGGCACCAGGCCTGGCCGGGGAGGTGGAGTGGGGAGCTCTGGCCTTGGGGGCAGGAATGGGAGCGCTGCTGAAGAGGGGAGCGGACGGGGGAATCAGTGTGTCGGCTGAGGGGTGCCGGGGTCTGGACGGTTTGGGGGCGTTGAGTTTGGGGGAGCGGAAGAGAAGTGGGGAGCCCCCGCTGGACCTGAGGGGAGGCCTGAGGGGTAGGGCTGGGGTGGGAATTCCTGCCGGAGTGGAGGAGTGGGGCAGGCTGGGGCGGCCTGAGCGGAGGTTGGGAGAGTGGACACTGCTCGTTATAATGAGGGCCCGGGACACCTGCTCCTACTGTTGCTGCCACCACCTTCGGCCTAAGGGCACAGGAGAAAGGAACAGATCCTAGCTTAGTCTTATCCCAACCGTGAAGAGTCCCAGGTTTTTCCCTTCCTCTTCGTCTGTTCTCGTTGGACCTCGTCGGTCCCCGCCAGAGAAGGTGCCAGACTCTCAACACAAGGGACCAAGACCCTGCGCCACTCTGCCTCCTTTAAGACTACCTAAGGCTTAGGGTTCATCTGAAGACACTACTTCCATTGCTTGCACCTTCTGAGGACTTGGGGAACATCCTTCTCCAGCTGCTGCTCCTGACAGGCCCCAGTTGCCCCCGTGGGGGGTGGGGGGGGATGGTGTGTGTGTGTGTGTGTGTGTGTATGTGTATTTCGCCAGATTTTATTCCATTAGGCTAGGGGAGCACAGGAAAAATCTGCCAGTTTTTAAAATGCAGTTTACTTTGGTTAAGTTTTGAGAGCACAGTGTTTGATCCTTCTTCTGGTACCTATCTGCTTCTGGCAAAGTACAGAGCATTTTTTGGGCTATTTCTTCTTTTAATTGGATCCACTTTCTCAGGACACGAAGCAACTCTTCTTCTTCGCTAACCTACCCTTTGTTGGGTCCTTTCCTCAGGCATTTGTTTGGCTTTCTAGGAAAGAGGAAAGAGTTTCCTGCTAGTTGATCCTACCTCATTCTCTTCACAGTAATTGACTAAATTAAAAAAAAAAAAAAAAAAACCAAAAACAAACCTGAACTCTTTGTAGTGTTCAAGATTTTAAACCATTCCTTTTTTTTTTTTTTTTAAACCATTCATTTTAAACCATGATTTAGGCTGAGAGTCACTTATCCAGAACTACTGGTTTAAAGTAATAATTTTTACGTAGTGATGGACGTATAAGGGCAAAGGGATCATTTGTAGTGTAATTACTTGGCAGCCCATGTGTTGGCAAGGAAGCGCTTTACCAGTTTGATGTTAGGTCATGTTGGCAAGCCCATACGTGGTCCTGAGAAGGCCCATGAGAGGAAGAGACTTTAAACCATGCTTTCTGAACTGGAAATGTGTAACATGGAAAAGAGAAACTCAAGGGTCTTCAAATTTTGGATGGGCTGTCATATAGAGCAGTTTAACTTTCTTTATTTCTCTAGAATGTGGAATTAGAGCGTATGGATGGAAACTAATGGTAGGGGAGAGATTTTGCTTCAACATAAGGAAACTTTTAAACCGAAGAATAATGGGATGGATTCAGGAGACATAGAGGTTCCTGAAAGTGTTGAAACAGACATTGCTCAACTAACTCACATGATTATTTTATGGAGAATTAATTGTTTAGTAAAGAAAAGGGGTTGGCTTTAGTTGGCCTTTAGGTCCTTTGCATATTTATGGGTGGATATATGTAATAATGGCTCTTAGTTTAGAACCAAGGATTAGAATCGAGAGAAAACTGACAGTTAAGTCATGTGAGCTATGAGAGTGCAAGATACTTCAGTTCTGCCAGATAGCTCTGAGAAATGGGAAATGGCTTTTGGTCTTACCGTTCTCCGAGGAGGAAACTGAGCAGACTGCAGGGAGGGTTTTGACATAGGAATCGGGGTGCAAGAAGAGGGTAAGTGAATGTTGGTTGTTGTTTGCACGTGTACCTTTGGAGAAAATTATTGGGAGGAAGTTAAGGTCAAGTCTTCTTACCTAGGAGGCAGTGGATATCTATCATATTTTGGAGTATGAGAACTTGATCTTTGAAAAATATGTTGGTTAATAATGGTGTGTTTAAAACAAATGTAGTTTTGGGTGCCTGGGTGGCTCCGTTGGAGAGTCTGCCTTCAACTCAGGTCATGATCCAGGGTCCACAGGGAGTCTGCTTCTCCCTCTGTCCACTGCTCATGCGTTCTCTCTCACTATATTGCTCTGTCTCAAATAAATACATAAATTCTTTTTTTAAAAGATTTATTTATTTATTTATTTGACAGAGAGAGAGAGAGAAAAAGATATATCACAAGTAGGCAGAGAGGCAGGCAGAGAGAGGGGGAAACAGGCTCCCTGCTGAGCAGAGAGCCTGATGCTGGGTCTGATCCCAGGACCCTGAGACCATGACTTGAGCTGAAGGCAGAGGCTTAACCCACTGAGCCACCCAGGCACCCGATAAATTCTTTAATAAAAAAACCCCAAATGGGGTGGGGTATTGGGTGAGCCTGGTAGTGGGTATTAAGGAGGGCACGTATTGCATAGAGCACTGGGTGTGGTGCATAAACAATGAATCTTGAAACACTGGCAAAATAAAATAAAATAAAATAAAAAAATATAGTTTTATCATTGTTATAATATTTACAGTAATGATACAAATATTAAAGATAAGAATGGAGATAATAGGCATATCTAAGTATTTACTATATACCACACTTTGCTAAGCACTTCATCTATCTTCTCTCATTCTTTTTTTTCTTTTAAAGATTTATTTATTATTTTAGAGAGCGAGAGCAAAAGAGAGAGTGGGTGAGCATTCACTTGCATGTGGGGCGTGGGGGGAGGCAAAGGGAAAGGGAGAGAATCTTAAGTAGACTCCCTATTGAGCTTGGCTTGGGGGATGCTCAGCAGTCTCAGACCCTGAGATCATAACCTAAGCCAAAATCAGATCAAGAGTCTGTAGCTCAACCTACTGGGCCACCCAGGTTCCCCTCTTTAATTTTTTTAACCTAAGGTTGCAAAATGTGGTGTGGAAATAGTATTCAAGTTGAGGTCTGATTCTAAAGGTACTATATGCCATATTCTATCACATTTTCATTTTGTCCCTATATGTAAGGGATGATGATAGATGAAAGAGTATACTATTGCAAAGGATAAATTGAATAATTATTCAAGAATCTTATCTTTTAGCATTAGGCTCTGTGTATTTTGAATAATAAAAAAATGAGTTTCTGGAATTGCGTGTTCAGATGTGGCAGCAGTTCTGAGTCACTGAAATACCTGAAAATTTGACTTTTTATTTTTTAATATCACCCAAGATCAGTTCAAATTCTTCTTTTCTTCTTCCTCTTCTCTTTTTCCCCAAATTCCTTTTTTGCTTGAGCCTATTGTAAGGACAGAGGAAAAGGTAGAGTTTTTTTCTTAATTATAATTGCGAAATGATATATCCCTTGGTGTGGCAGAAGTTATAGGTACAGGCAGTCCTCACTCTTTATGGTAGTGACCATGCAACTTAAAATCTGGCCAAGTAGTCTTTCCTTTTTTGATTTTTGTTTTTAAGATTTTATTTATGATAGAGAGAGATGGAGAGAGGGAACACAAGCATGGCGGGGGGGGGGCTGGAGAGAGAGAAGCAGGCACCCTGCTGAGCAGGGAGCTGGATATGGGGTTTGAGACTAGGACTCTGGGATCATGACCTGAGCCAGAGACAGACACTTAAGGGCTGAGCCATCCAGGTACCCCCTGGCAAACTAGTCTTAATAATCAATGGGAAAAGTTACAGTTGTTCTGAGAACTTAAAATTTTTTTTTTTAAATGTCTCTTCAGAAACTCTGCCTTTTTTTTTTTTTTTTTACGATTTTATTTATGTATTTGACAGACAGAGATCACAGGTAGGCAGAGAGGCAGGCAGAGAGAGAGGAGGAAGCAGGCTCCCCACTGAGCAGAGAGCCCGATGTGGGGCTCTATCCCAGGACCCTGGGATCATGACCTGAGCCGAAGGCAGAGGCTTTAACCCACTGAGCCACCCAGGCGCCCCAGAACTTCAAAATTTTTTGTCAAACACCATAAACCCTCTTATTGTTGGTTATAAATTAGAGAAATGAAAAAAAATAGCAAAACTATTATTTAGTACTCTAATTTAAAACATTAAAAACACTGATAATTAAAATGTGTTATTTCTTTGTACAAAAAGTTACCAGAAGTAGTTTGAACTGTGCTGGCTTTCTTGTCATGTAACATGTGATGTGGAATGAGTGATTTTTCTATGCCTTAATGAATTGTCATTCTCCTTTCTAAGTTTGGTTCAGCTTCAACATTTTACTCTTTGCACTTTCAATATTGTGAAATATCTCTGAGAGTTCTTCTAATGCAGAGTTTTTTGCTGGCATCATTTCTTCTGGTCCCTCTTCATCCTTTTCTCACAACCACTTTTTTCATTTATGTTAATAAGTTTGCCTTCAAGTTAGTCTGGCTGTTTATCTAGAGTCCCTCAGATGGCAGCAGTCAACATCATCGTTGTCAGCTATTTCTTTGATAACTTTATGTGTGATTGGAATTTTACTTCCAACATTATCACTTTTTGTTTCTTTGCTACACTTTCATCATTGTTGGCTATTTCCATTTTTTGCTTATTCATTTTTGTAAAATGTCACATACATTCATTACCAGGAGACAAGGAGGCAACTCAGCTACACACTTGGCTGTCTGTACATGAACTGAGTAACAAAGTGCAGTGAATAATCACCAGCAGTTTTTGCCTTAATTTTTTGAAAAGATTTTATTTACTAATTTATTTTGAGAGAGAATGCACCTGCAAGGGGGTTGGAGGGAGTGGCAAAGGGAGAGGGAGAGAATCACAAGCAGACTCCCCACTGAACACGGAGCCTGATGCAGGATTTGA